CGTTAGCTGCGTCCCGGCTGGAAGCCCGCGAAGAGGACGAGGAGGAAGGCGCCTCTGTGGCCGCGGCCGCAGCGCTCCGGGTGCGACGAGCCATGAGCGGGCGCGCCGCGGGCGACCCTGCCGTCGCCGGCCGCCGCTGAGCCCGACCCGGAGACCGCTCGCCGCTCCCCAGCACCCTCTCCAGCCGGCACCCTCGCGCGCGGAGGTAAGGGCGGGACTCGCGCGGGGATGGAGAGCGGCAGCCCGCCGAGGGCCACCGGGCTTGGTCCGCTAGGCGTGCGGGAGCCGCCCCGCCTCACTTGCCTCCCGGCCTCCTCCCGCTCTCGGGCAGAATGCGGTCGCCTGCCCGGCGTGTGGTGCCCAGAACCGTACGCTGCTACGGCGCGGGGACCCGCCAACCCCTTCCCCACCCATCCCACGCCGGCCCGGGCGTCCGCGCGGGGGACCCCAGCCTGCGCCGAGCGCCGCGCGGGTGGCAGGTTGCGCGGCTGGGCGGGGTGGGAGGGCACGCGAGCGGAAAACGCGGTCCCGGCCGGGGCCGATCGTCGATCCCTCCTGCCTTGAAAATCCGTGAGACCCGGGGCCTGTCCTCTCTAGCCTGTTTCTCCTGTGCCACCTCCGAACCCCTGAAGTTGGCACTTTCGGGAAGGGAAAGGAATTGATGGTCTCTGAAAAAAACGAGAGAGCACAGTCTGCTCACCTGCTGGACCAGAGGGAAAAGCGGGGTTAGCCGTACCGGGCGGGCCCCAGAAACCAGGTGTCTAGGCCAGCGGTTGAGGCCAGGACCGCTACCTTCATCCCAAACCCAGGCTCACTAATCTGTGCCTTTCTGGCTGGTTCTCAGCAACCAGGTGCCAGGGATGGAGTTAGCCACTCAAGAACCCTGTGCACGCCAATGCCTTTCTTTCCTCTCCCCGCCCCAGCCCCCGCGCTCGCTGATGTACATCAGATTCCAAACTGTTTCTCCCAAACCTCGCACGGTCCTTGGCTTTGCAATGGCCAAGTCACCTCGCCCGCATTCTAATGCGGATGTTTTAGAGTGTTAGGGCCAAACTTCTCTTGGTTTCAAATTCTTTAAGCATGTTAAGCTTCCAGCAAGCCAGCTAGGACCATCCTCCTTATAGTAAAAAATTAAGAACGAATCAGTCTTTGTGGGAGTGCCGCTGCTTGAACGAAGGAGGCTTGAATTACCCTATTTAACTCAGCTGTTGAGGGGAGGAAAAGGTGGAGGAAATCGCAGTCCTATTTTAGTCACATAATTCTTTCGAGGCGGCGGTAGTGTGAGAAATGTAGTCTTAACCAACGGTCACATTTCCGGGCAGGTAGGTGGTGGTTTCCCAAAGCGTGGACGAGGCATCAGCTAGGACAGACCATCGCCCAGCCCTCCAGAGGAGGGAAAGGGTAGCAGGGATGGTGACCCTCTCTGTTGGCACCACACTGCAAAATCTCCAATGCCATACGTTTTATATATACATAGATCCTCTTTGCTTTTAAATAATTTGTATAAAACTTGTAGACCCAAAAGGTAATCTGAACTTCACAAAACTTGCTCAGATTCATCAACAATGTGTTGGATGTGTGGACAAAGAAAACAGATTAGATTTCTACAACTCTAACCTATGATATTTGCATTTCCTGTGACTTGCTTAAATAGGGAAGGCCAAGGGTGTAGCCCTGATGTGCTATCCATTGGAGTGCTTAACTCAAATTATATTTTGGAGTCTGTTTATTTCCTTTGAGGGAGATGTAGGGACGGTTTTGGGAAGATGATTATTGAATATTTCCTTTGATTCACATAACTGATTGATTTCAGGTGGGGCCCAGTGACTGTATCAGAGATAGCAAGCATATTTAACCATATTCTTGTTATTATTAATTTTATAATTATCAAAGCCTTTGTTAAAAATACAGCTTTTTTTTTTTTTTTGAAACAGAGTCTCAAGCTGTCACCCTGGATTTACACTGCCATGGCGTGACAGCTCACAGCAACCTCAAACTCTTGGGCTTAAGTGATTCTCTTGCCTCAGACTCCCAAATAGCTGGGACTACAGGTGCCAGCCAGAGGCCCAGGTATTTTTTTGTTGCAGTTTTTGTTGTTTTAGCTGGCCGGGCAGCTGGGTTTGAACCCGCCAGCCTTGGTGTACATGGCTGGTGCCTTACCCATTGAGCTACGGGTGCAGCCCCCAAATACTGATCTCTTATTTCCCAGATTGACTAAGCACTTAGTGAAATGTGTTTTTAAAAAGAAATGCTTTTCATGAAACATATGCGTTAGGAGCTATAAGACGAATGCAGATTTTTCCGTTATATGAAGTTTATCTTTTACAAATAATACAAAGTTAGAAATACTTTTAACTCCTAAGGTTTCCAAGTCTTATCAAATTGTTTTCATGATTTTTCATTCAGTAGCCTATAATAATTTTGTTGTAGTCAGCTATAATATTATAATAGAATCCAAGTTTAAGAAAGAAATGAAGTGAAAACTATGCTTCTTTGCAAAGAATTATGCTAATGATTTAATATGGTACATTCCTATAATATAGTCCATCTGCAGTAGGTGAATAATATGCATTGTCTCAGATTCATACAGCAAATTCCTAAGGTAAATGGCACTGTCCACAGTTTACAGAAGAAAGAAGCTTAGAGTTTGGGACTTGCCAAAGACCATATAGCCAAGTTAATGCATGAATAAGGCTAAGCCTCTTTAGTCTTAGTGATATACTTTTTTCTGTTATCCAGAGCTGCTGCTTTTTTTTTTTTTTACATAAATTCATTGTTAACAATAGCAGATGATGAAACAGAGGTTGTACATTTTGAACCAAGGCTATTTCCAAGACCTATGTTCTCGCCCCTGCTTTGTATTAAATGACTGATTCAGAGCTCAGTCTTGTGGACAGTTCACGCCTGCCCACCAACTTTTTTCTTCCAATGGCAATGATGGTTTCATGGATTGCAACATACCCCCAAGATTTTATACTCCATTCCCAGATCACAAATGAAAGCATATTACAACCAATGAGGGTTACTAGGCAGGTATGCTTGAATCCACTTAATTTCTTTTAAAAATATGAATCATTTTAATTGGCATGGAGTACAGAGCATAGCCTCAGAATAGGAAGAGGTGATATCAAATTCTGACTCTGCTGTACAACAGGAATGCAGATGAGCTCACATTGTCAACTTCTCTGAACTCTAATTTCTTCATGTGTCATGGGGTTAATAAAGGCTATCTAGATGGATCGTTGTGCAGATTAAATGGAAAGGACAGCTCCTGTCACCTAGTAGATGCTCAGTAAGGATTAACACCCATGTGCCTCAGCACGAATTGAAATTTCTGCTGTATTTCTTTATGTACATTGTACGTTCATTTAATGATTAGCCATTGCTATCAGTGATCACTCTTCATGCAGCTATACAGAGTTCTAATCTGGTTTTTATACCTTCAACTTTTGCATTACATCATTTATTTATAGTCCTAAATTAGAAACATGCACTCACCTTTTGTAGTTTTTCCTTTACTCTACATTTTTGAGGACTTTACAGCAATATTTAATGGACTGGAATTTGTATCTTTTGGCAAACACTCTTTCCTGTCTTCTGTCTGTCCTGATCTCTTAGCCTTGCTTATCATTCAGGATATCATGACAATGCCAATACCTCCCTACCACATACCTTACCCTTGACCAAGCCTCTACCAGCTGAAATTCTGCATCTCCTTAAAGGCCCAGCATAAAAGCCAGGTCCCTTCGGAACCTATATGCTTCCTTCTAAACTCATTGCCAACACACTTAGGATTCAGACAGCTCCTAATGCTTTTTAAAATAAACAGAAAAATAGTTAATTTTCCAGATAACATACTATGAACAACTAATAAATTCTCTGAAATCCAGGATAATTTTCAAAATTTATATACTATCCTTTGCTTGGGGTAATACATAGATGATTTTTATTTCCTGAATGAAAGACAAATCAGGTATTTTAAAATCTTTATAATAGTTAGGAAGGACACTCAAACAGGACACTCCTATTTCTGTCTATTACATGACTGGTGGTGGTGGCACCTTCCTTGTTGCCCTGAGACGTGTTCACCCGGCCCTCTTCACTAATTTAACTAGCATTACATTTACCAGAAGGCCATCGTTCTTAAATAAAGCCTTAGCCCTTAGGTACTATGTGAGATAGCTATGTTTCATTAATAAATTGCTCCCCTGGTGATATAATAACCTCATTATATTGCAAATATATTGAGCGTATCAACAGTATTTGAGTTCTTTGGTACTTTAGATGGGGTAATGGTCCAGATGGAGTTCTTTAATTAAGAATAGGATTTACCTGAGAGGAAGGAACACCTGTCTCAGAGAGAAGGTTGAAATAATGAGCAAGGAGGATTTCAAACCCCTTGGAAATAGGAGTAATCAGGGCCCAGTGGGGAGGCTACAACCAGAAGTAACCTTCATGAGAAAATTAGCCCAGGCAAACGACCCCACCACAAACATGAGGGGTAGAAAAATTAAAAGAAAGAGATAAAATAAATGAAGCAGGGTTATAATACCGTATGACTGAGACCTGCTAGGTATTAGTCATTCCTGGACTATAAAAATGGGCAAGAGGGAGGGGATCAAGTTGGGAAGGAGAGGAGAGAAAGTGGTGTGGCCCTGGGCAGGAATATATGGCACCTGCTCCTGGGGCCAGCACAGAAGGTAAAAGCGTAATCCCATAGCTTTGTTTAAAGTAGACAATTTGGCAGGAATGTATAGAAAATTTTCTGATCCTTATAAAGTTCAGAATGATTAAGCTGTTTTCTAATACTGGGCATTAAACAACAAAATCTCTGGACTATTTACTTAGAAGCAGAACACTGTCACACGTTTGGAGAGTGAATTTAGTATTATTTTCTAGTGTTGGATGGGTGTCATTTTAGAATATGGTTCTAGGCTCAGCGCCCGTAGCACAGTGGTTATGGTGCCAGCCATATACACCAGTGGTGGTGGTTTTGAATCTGGCCTGGGCCAACTAAACAACTGCAACAAAAAAATAGCTGCAGCTCGGCGACTGTGGCTCAAGTAGCTAAGGCACCAGCCACATACATCTGAGCTGGCAGGTCTGAATCCAGCCTGGGCCCACCAAACAACAATGATGGCTGCAACCAAAAAAATAGCCAGGTGTTGTGGCGGCACCTTTAGTCCCAGCTACTTGGGAGGCAGA